CTGCCAGGGAGCCAGCTGCAAGAACCAAGAGAGTGGAGTGAGACTTAAGCCTCCCTTGATTACTGGAGGGCCAGTAGGTGTATACTAATTGATTCCTTGGACAACAAAAGAGAAAACAGGGTTGGGCATGAACATCACAGGTTAATAACCATGGTTCTGAGGGTAGACAGTCAAGCAAGAGGGGAAGCAGGAGGGGACATGGCAGGGGTGTGGAGGTCTGAGTGCATCAGCAGGGCCTATGGGGTTGACTGAGAAGGGGCAGTGTTCAAACCTGTTTGTTACTTCTGAAACCTCTGGCTAAACAGATGCTTCCCCCATGAAGAGTAATTAAGACTGCCAAGATGCCACTTAGGGGGAGAGGTTGCTGTGAAAACCTCATGCTTGTGCTCCAAACGCTAGAGCCAGAAGATGCAATTTTCTAGGAAATCAATTACCAAGGCCCTTACTTCCCCTGCACTGCAAATGAGCCACCTTGCTGTGTCTCTGTGAGCTCGGATGAGACAATGAAACGTTTGGAAGCTGCTTGCGTAGGGCCATGTTTACCTTCACAGGCACTTTCTGAGCTTTTCCAAGGGCTGCAGGAAAAGTGACTCTTCTGCGTGGAGCAGGAAATCAGTGCTGGCCCTGGCTTGGACCTCTGTGGGAGGATAGGTTAGGCAGGATTCTGCAAATGCAGGTTGGAAAATGATCCTCGTCCAGGCCTACCATGTGGTGTGTTTGCTGCTAGAGTCATTCTTTTCGTGCCAACCTGTCGTCCAGCCATTAACTCCCCCCATCAGTTTGGCCAGCTGTTATGGATAAATATTAATTAAATTGAACACATTTGTTATTAAGGAGTCTGGCAGCATTGTCCAGTAGCCCTAAGGTTCATTCATTCACCTATTGCTGCTTTACAAAGGTCTGCAAATTGAGAAGTGGAGAGTAGTAAATTAGGGAAGACTGCAGTTTTCTTCTGAATATTACAGTTTGCTATCTCTCCTCCAGAGCATGGACTGAAATTCACACATGGCCCCTGGAACATCTAATTTCCCCACTTGGCTGGGAACTCTGCAGAAGGAGAAGTGGGTTGACACTGCCACGTTGCAAAAAGATGGATATTTCCTAACTCCACATAGCAAATCAGGTTGTTCCTAGGGCACTGGATTGTACACCATGCCACTTGTGTGTACACAGCACCAATCCCAGTGTGTACATGACTGTGTTACTGGAGCAGCTCCCTAGTGGAAATCCTGCAGCTATTGTAAGGAAGTGTGCCCCTGGAATGATCTGAACTGCAATACTAGAAGCAAACAAGTAACAGCCTCTGGGCTCCCCATCTGCTCCAGATAAACCACAATAAATGTTGTACTTGAAGCTGGAAGCATAAGGCAAGAGATCCTCAGACTTCTATCTAGAATATATGCAAAGGAACTTGCAGGTAGAAAGGGAGCATCACAAGCAGGTCTAGGGAAGTGATAATTCCCCTCTATGCGGCATTGGTGAGGCCACAGATGGAGTACTGTGTCCAGTTTTGGGCACCGCACTTCAAGAGGGATGTGGATAACCTTGAGAGGGTTCAGAGAAGGGCCACTCGTATGGTGGTGGGGGTCAGCAGGGAATAGCAGACACTCTGTTTACCAGGGTGCCCCTCGGAGTTACCAGAAATAATGGCCACAAACTGAAGGAGAACAGATTTAGATTGGACATAAGGAAGAAATTATTTATGGTAAGGGTTTGCCAAAATATGGAATGGGCTTCCAAGGGAGGTAGTGCTTTCCCTTACCCTGGAGATGTTCAAGAAGAGATTAGATAGGCATCTGGTTGGGGTTATCTAACCCCAGCGCTCTTTCCTGCCCGGAGCTGAGGATCCCAATGATCTACCAGGTTCCTTCTGACTAGAAATCTATAAAATCTATGTGTGTGTGTACGCCTTTGTCCAGGTTAATTAAATAAGATGTACATATACAGAGTACACAAGCTTTCATGATAGAGTGAACATGGGTTCATGAAAGCTTGTGTGTTTCTCTCTCTCTCTCTCTTAGTCTATAAAGGTGCATCTCTACCTTGCCTTCTGAGTGACTTTGAACTAACGCAGTTAACTACCTGACTTTGTCAAGGTTGCCATGCATCTCGGATGATGATCTGTCTTGGATCCAAGAAGCATCTTCTTTTCACCTGTTAGCACAAACCGCAGGACCAGACCTCCTTTCTGATTGCAGTTTCCAAAGTTTATGAGACTGGAGGGTGAAAAGCAAATTCATACTGACAGACCCTAGGGAAGGGTTGACATCAAAAGAGCAACACCAGTTTACAGCAGCTGAAGATCAGACCTGTGATGCATCCTCTCAAAAGAACACCCTCATTTCTGTTTATCTTCCCCAAGAGTGCACTCAGGCTTCTCTGTGGGGTCTCCTCTCTTATTTATATCTGGAAAAAGCAGGGTGGAAAACCCAATCTGCACATAAGCACACATGCACACACACATACACACATTCCTCTGGAAAAATCCTGCCTTGTAATGTTTTGACTGAACAATTTTGTGTTTTCCTTATGTTTTTTTTTAAGCCCAACGAAAATGTTCGTTTTTAGTTTGAGATGTGGCTGTTTCCCTTTGTAGTTTCTTAATTTTGAGTTCCTTCTTCTTTTTCCTCTTTTTTTTTTTGTTTTTGTTTTGATCTATCCCCTAAATTTTCTCCTGGAAAACGGGAAGAAAGAAAAAATGTGGATGAATTTGGGAAAACCTCAGCATTCACACTTGCTGTTTTCCAGCTTTTCCGTATGTGTCTGTGTGCATGTACTCCTGGGTGTATGTCTGTGTAGCTTTTATGATAAAACCTGGGACCAATGATAGGTTGTTTTCTTAGCATGGTTGCCTGCATATATTGTGCTGTAGTCAAAAGCCCATCGTTTGGAGTGACCTTGGCTTTCTAAGCTAGAGCAGTCGGTGATCAAATGGTACGGCTCTCAGGTCATGTGGATTTTGTATTGTGAAAGCAGTTTGTTTGTTTTGTGTAACTGGTCAGAGTGTGAGTTTCTTTAGCAAAAGGCAAAGGGGATGGGGCTTTCCCACTAGCTCTTTGGAGAAAAGATTGGAGCTGGAGTTTCTCCCAGTTGTCCCATACAGAGAATAACTCTAAGACCAGAAGCGGGTGGGCAGGAGCAGGGGAGCAGAAAAGTGGGTAGGATATTCCATAACATCCTGGGCAGGGAGTTTGTACTGGGTAACCACAGTTAGCACACAGCTTCAGGGGTTTCCACCTAGCACATGTCTGTCTGTGTGTTGCTCAAAGCACTGCATTTCCTTATTGAGGCAGTTTCTTGACAAAGCTGACCAGCAGCCAGTCTTCCTGCTTTGCACTCCAAAAAGGAAAATACAACCCAAGCAACCCCAGGAAAAGAAGGGGGCATGTACAGTGTGATGGTCAGAACTATTGAAAGAAATGATGGAAGAAGGTCAGTAGAAGATATGCAGTGGGTGGGAGTGGGGTGAGGAGTAGGGGCAGAGACTTCTTTGGCCAGCTCATATGTTTGTTCTGTAATCAGCTAATTCTCAGCTAAAGCAGGTTCTGACCTCCTTTGGTTACTGGCTGCCCTTGGCATCTTGTTTAGCCTGCAAAGAGTCAATAAAAAGATAATTTAATAGTGCTCGGTAACATTCAGGTCAAGGGATTGTTATGGGAAGAGAAGGAACATGCTTTGGCTGCTGTTTGTACAGATAGCACAAGGAGGGTTTCTCATTGCAACCATCTTTCTTGCACCCTAACCCTGCCTACAGTGCCAATCACCTCAGTGATGGACACTGCAGGAAAGGCTACAAGAGACCCTTCCTTCCAATGAGGACTGCACAGGGAGCCATCCAGAGCCCCCTCCCCTTGGTCAGCTGGACAGCAAAAGGTAGCTTCTCCTTCTCCCTTCAGTGCATCATCTTCTTGGCCTTCCAAGTTTGGGAGGTGAGATATCAGGGTTGGGATTAAAGCCAGGACTTTTTATTGGCACCAACTCAGTCTTATCCATCAGCCTCGCATGCATTAGACAGTTCCCTGAATATATGCCACCGATGATGAAAGGCTTTTTGTGCTGGAAAGGCAGGTGTCACAAGTTCTCCAGGTCTTGGTGTTAATCATCCATCAGCTGCTGTGAGGACCTTCCACATGTTGGAAGGTGTCACAGGGCACTAAAGTGTGCCTGCTCCTTTAAAGGTAGAAGCAGCCTAGACAGAGAGCCCTGCCAACTAGGCAAAGCTCCAGAGCTGCAGGTTGCCCAGGCAGCAGGCTAATAAGGGAATTAGCTGGCACCTGCACATGATCAGCTGACCGGAAGCAGGCGGGGCCCTGGGCACATATAAGCCCCAGGGCTGGGGCTGCTAGGTGTTAGTTTTCTGGCAATTGCCAGGGAAAGGAGCTCTTGCATGGGAGAGTTATCCAGAGACATTTGGGTGCCTGATCTGCTGCTTGCAAGACTAATAGCTCTCCAGGAGCTCATAAGGTACCCAGAACTAGGAAGCACACAATACTCAGGGTGAAGTTAGCGTTCTTAAAGGGGCAAAGTGGTTTATGTTGTTATTGTTATGTTCTGGTCCAGGGACTTATGTTTGTTGTCATTTTCTCTGGTGGCTTTGGGATGAGGCTATAAGGGGAGTTGGAGGCCTCATTAGTGCCCAGAGGGGGCACACAATTGTCTAAAGCCCCAGTGCCAGAGGGGAGCAGCTACAGGGGCCAGAGGGAGTGCTATCACAGGGGGGGTGAGTGGCACATCTGCCTTGGGTGCTGAAGAGAGGTACTAACATATGGTGCCTAGCTAGGGTGGGGCATGGGATGGAGTTGCAAGTGGCTTGTTTGGGGAGGGGGGTGGCGAATGTGCAGAAATGGGGAGAGGGTGGCTCCTGCAGCTGCATGCACTCCTGGGCACAGGCAGTGGAAGGCTGGGACTAATGGGGCTTAGCCTGCCCACCTCCCCCCATACAGGGCAATGGTAGTACAGGGGACCACAGGGAATGCATGTGGGCTCTGGGCAGCTGCAGCAGGGCAGGGGGAGGGATGCACACAGACATAAATGAGCAGCTGGAGCCTGCAGGAGGCCAGGAACTCAGCCTGACCCAGCCACCTGTGGAGCAGCACCTAGCATGTAAGTTATGTAGGTAGAAGGGTTGGGGGTGGGGAAGAGACCAGATTGAGACCCCCATGGTGAGGGAGGGGCTGGGGTGAATGGGGCCCTGGGGCAGGTTGTGGGAGGGTTGGAGCCTAGGTGGCTCACTCAGGGGGCTCCTGCTGCTGTATGCACCCCTGGGGCAGGCATGGCGGGGGGGGACACATGCCCTCTGAGTCTGTGCACAGGGCAGAGGTGGGCTCTGATAGCTTGAGGGCATGGTATAGAGCCAGCACCTGCAAGCCATAAATCAAATCTGGCAGCTCAGTCTGGAGCTGTTGGTCTTGTTCTGAGTGCATGGGAGTCCTGGTGGCAGTGGCTACCCTACTAGTTAGTCCTGATTGTAGGTAGCAGGAGGCCAAGGGCTCAACTCTTGCCTCTTCTGTCCAAGTGGGTGTCACCAGGGCTGGAGGTGGGGAATGAGATGATGGCTGGAGGTGGGAAGCTTCCCTCTCTGACTTGGCTATCAAACCAGGAACAGAGGACATTACCTACAGGCCAATGACTGCCAATTTGTGTCAGCAGTGAGACTGCTGGGATATAGGCAGCTGCCTGAGTACCCTGGTGGTAGCCTCTTGCAGAACAAAGTCCACTGCCCAAATACATTGCAGCTACTGCTTGTGCCTGTGGAAAGGACAGTGGTAGCAGTGTCAGCCCAGCAATAAAGGGTGTGCTGATGCCTCTGCCTTGTTTTCCTAGGTGGGAGGGATTGGGAAGATCTCCTGCAACCCAAGGTCATGCCTGGGAATTCCACTGCTCTCCCCTTGCAATCAGTTGTTCTACACAGCCTTGGGTTGGAGCCAGCCCTTGCTCTTCACCCTTTGTAGGGCAGAAGGGGAGCTTTTGGCACCTCTCTCAGATGTTTCTAAAGACTGCTGTGTGGAGGGGGCACCATGCTGTTTGAAGACATGTTTCCACTAGGGCAAAGTGTGGTTTTTGTTGACTGAAACAGAAAATGGCCCTGAAAAGCTCAGCTCCTGCATGACGGGGCTGGGGATCTCTGGTATTATCCCACCTTTCCCTGGCACTGGAATGAACAGCCCTGTGGGGCTGTCACTTTTTTTTTCCCCTATCAAGGGCTAGCAGGGCCTGGAGGAATGAGTACTGAGTTAGGAAGTTAAGTGCTGTTCAAAGGAATGGGATCTAGTGGTTATAAACAAGAGGGCTGGAAGCCTGGACTCCTGCATTTATTCCCAACTCTATCAGTGACACACAGCATAGGCTTGGGCAAGCTTTTGTCTATGCCAGTGGTTCTCAAACTCTCTTTTTTTACGGACCACTTAAATTGCTGAGAGTCTTGGCGGACTACTTAATACAACTTTTTTTTTTTTAATTCTACAAATCAAAGCACACAACTCTTATTAATATCAGTAGTCTTGCCTTTCTAATGTGATGGATGTGCCTGTTTTTTAGCAAAGTTCTGGGAAGTCGGGTATAATGTTTGTCAGCTTTAGCCTTGGGTCACCTTTCTGTAGACCACCTGAATGGAGCTTGCAGACCAGTGGTGGTCCACAGACAACAGTTTGAGAACCTCTGGTCTATACTTGAGTGTCTCACATTTTCAGGGTAGGGTTCCTGTTCCAGACATTCACATAGCCATGTGCTACTTTAATAGCTGGAGCGTAGGCTGTGCTTTGAGGCACTGTTGTTAAGAGCTAAGCATTAGTTCACCATTGCTTGCACTCCCAAGGCTGTGCCTCTGGCTCTCTCCTCCCACTACTCCTACCCCTCCTTGGGTCAATAAGGCCTCCACCTTTGGACTGCAGCAATGGAGATAGGGCTAATACAAATCCCTCCTCTGTGTGTTGGGGACTGTCATGGAGGGCATTGGCCTGCAACAGGGGGTCAAAGCCCAGCTCCAGTCTGGCTTGCTCTCAAATCAGGGGAGTTCAGGGAGCTGCAGTAAAAGGAGAATTGGAGTGGTTGGCCCAAGAGCAAGGCATGCTGGGAAAGGAAACAGGATAACATCAAAAACGTCACTCTGTTCAGGCTGCGGGATAGCTTGGAGGGGGGCCTGGAGCTGAGGATGTTCTTGTAACATGGGGCTAGACCCTGCCATAAAGAAAGAATGGGCTCCTTTTCTGTCTTGGCAGGAGGCGGGAATCTCTCTCGTACAAAGGGCTTGAGGATTTTTGTGGACTGCTGGAAAAGGAGGAGTTTAATCTCCTTCAAGTAGGGGAGGAGGGGGAAGATGAAGACAGTGCAGAGCCTGGTGCACAGGCTTGGAGGGATTGCTTTAGGTCCCTTTTCAGTGTGGATTGAGAGCTGTGTTGCCTGCTTTTAGGAACCAGGAAGACTTGGCTCTCAGTTGGCCCCAATTGCTTGGGAGGCCTGATTTAATGCCTGTCTGCATGGATGTGGCTGCCTGGATATAAGCGGTCATCCCCTCAGCATTCTTTGGCTACTTGGTGCTCCTTAGATGACTGTGTAGCTAAACCTCTAGCTCTTGTTTGTAGCTGAATCCCTGCCTAGTTCCTGCCTGCATCTTTGTCTAGCTCCTAGTTTTCTACCTCCTGCTTGATGCCTGAGCTTTGAACTTTTTGGCAGTGAGTCCTGACTTGCCACATCCTGGTTAGGCCCCCAACAGCTTCTGAGAAACCTCCTAAGGCATTGTCCACACCCAACCCTGGAGAGGCAAGACCTCCTCTCATGGTGACCGAGGATGTAATTTTTATTCCACCCCATGGTCCTCACTCACTCCAGGTTCCAGGTGTGCTACCGTGCTGCAGAAAAGTGGCCAGCTTGAGTCCCATTTGCTCCGAGTCCATGAATAGCTACTCCCCTTCCCTGACGCTGGTTTCATGGCTGGAGTAGAAAGAACTCCATGTTGATGTTGGGAAGGTACAAGAAAAGATAAGTGGACTGAGGAGGTGGCTAGGCTTTTACTGAACCTTGTCACAAGGCTGCACTTCACCTCTTGCAGATAACCAGCAAGAGGACATGGGTAGGCATGTCCACCGTAACCCATTCCCCATGGAGGAAGCATTGGTGGACCTTGCCACTTTTAATCTCCCATGGTTTCAAAGGCTCCTATGGACTTTGTTTCTAAGGCCTCTTGCCAAGAAATATCCCAGTGAGTTTGGCTTTCTACCAAAGGTAGAGCAGCATTTCCCCTTGTTGGATACATGGAGGACTCCAGAAAGCCAGAATCCCCCCTTGCTGTGTTTGACAACCTGAAACAGGCACCAAGGCTTGTTTAAAATGTCTCTTCCAAATTGATGGGGTAATGGCAGCATGCTCTCAGCCTGGGCAGACAAAGTTGAGAGAAGAGGCATCCTCCAGTCTTAACACATTGGGATGGCCAAGTCCATGTCATACAATTATTTTGACAGTCTGGAACAGCCCAATACAACATGGAGACATTGGATTTAATGCTTAACTGTGCTGTCTGTACAGCCTTGGTAGCAGAGTGGTGTTTTTGCGAGGCATGATGGAAAGCTCCTATTTCCAAATGCCTCGTATTCTTGCATCTGAAAATACCCCCACACACGGATGTATGCACGTGTTTAATAGAAAAGCGTTAGATGTAGATGTACAAAGGCAAAACATGGGGATCTACTCTTGGCATTCTTAGAATGCTGTCTATGTAAATGGGCATCCTGTGAATGTTATTTAAACAATTTAATACTATAATGACCATTCCCCTTTATGCAGGGAGACAAAATAGAAGGGACAGAGGGAAAGGAAAGGCCTTTTTGTGCTCTTCTATGGCTCGGGAAGCCAGGTCCTCTTCTTGACGACAAACTTCTTGGCTAATTGCAGTGCTAGGATTGAACTTTACCCTTTTCACAGGCTATTCCAAGGTTCTTCCAGGCAGTTGGGGGGGCTGCTGGTTGTGTTTCCTTTCTTCTTTCAAGACACAACTGTTAAGGATGTGGAAGCCTGGTTTCTGTTTCTGAAAAGCTCACTGAGTCAGAAGCTTCCTCTTGAGATGTCAGACACTTAAGGATGCATCTGTTGCATGAGAAAGGTACCAGTGCCTGATGATGGGATGCTACAAGTTGGCTATTTTGGGGTTGGGGGTGGGGAAACCCATATTGTTTTGTTACAAGCTCAGCAGAAACCTGGGGCCAGCACTTGAGAAGATATGACTGGATGCTCATGTTGGGGGTGTGTGTGTGTGTGTGTGATGGAGCTGAGGTATTGCTTTTCAGGCCTTGGGAGGCTGATGCGTTTACAGAACTGCTCACAGGCCACAACGGGCATGGCTGGTAATGAAAGTAAAAGCCCAGGAAATCCCATGTGGCCAGCCAGAGCACTGAAGCAGAAACAAATACATGAGTATTGCTTCCTGTAACACAGAAAACCCAGGGACTGTTGGAGCAGGGCTGTCTCTAGGCCATTAGCCTGTCAGCAGCCTAGGCAGAAAAGCCAAAACAGCTCCTTCCTTATGGCACTAGTAGTTGCTGAGACAGAGGCAGCTGCATCTCCTTGTGCTGCCTAATACCTGGCACTGTTTGGGCACATTGCAACAATGCCCTTTCTTTTACAATGCTATCTGCCACCCCTTGGCAGCAGCTGTTCTCCTGTCCCCCTTCCCTGGCTGTGGGGCAGGTGGGAGGGTCCCTGTTCTTGGAAAGCACCACATGGAAGTTTGCTGGGAAGGGACAAGTGGCACCAAAAAGAAACACTGTTTATTGCTTGCTTGCGAACAGCCTGCAAACTTAAAGGGAGAGAGAAGAGCCACAAATTACCGGCTATATTGCTCAACTCTCTCTTTCCTTCTCATCTTCACAAACCCAATGTTCCCTTGCCTGGGGCACCAGTAACACCTAGGGGCCTGTTTACACTACACAATGTCTTGGCAGCACTTGGGGAAAGCAGTCACCAGCTGTAATTCAGATTTGTCACTGCAGTGACCCATGCATCTGGGATATCAGGGCTTAATGGCTGTACCTTGGCACCTAGGCATGAACCTGCTGATCTGAACACTACCTAGCTCAGAACCCAGC